ATATTTATTTATATGACGGAACAACAAAATTTAATTAATGAGAGAAATTTTATGTATAATAATACAACAATCATCTAAATACCGAAAAATATTACAACTGATTACATGAGCATAATACGTAAATTCAAAATGAGAGGACATCATCAGAACTTACCCAAATGATCAATTTAGTCACGTTAGTTAGATAATTATGTATTAAAGTTAAAAGTATTTAATGTGATGGTATCTTACCGAACAATTCTTTGTAGACGATATTATTTTTGTGTATGTTTCCTTCTAATGCATTGGTTGCTCTGCCATAACCAGAACTTTTGTTGATATTGATATCCCTCTTGAAAGTATAACATATAGTTGTTCGTGCAAGAAAATTTATTGCGGTAAATATAGTCCAATATTTAGGATGTTTGTTCTTGTGTTTTATTTATTATAATTGCAAAACATAAACATACTTAAAATTATTCACGCAAATTTAAAAGGATATTCTTTAGTTTCGGAGGATGAAAGTTGAATTCGGGGATAAACATATACTTAGAAGCACATTAGCTAGTATCATAATCTTGCATGTATGACGTTATTGTCAAAACTTCTATATATCATATGTGTGCCATTACATTAGTTATTCGGCATATCTAAGTTTTTCAGTAGTATGATGGGCATATTTTTCTTTATATGATGGAATATCAATTTAATTTAGTATATTATATATACGGTAAACTAACATACGTAAGTAATAATAAACTTGACAACAAACATGTATGGTAGAAGGCCATGTGGTATTAAAGTATTTAAGTATTATTTTTTTGTTTATATCATAAAATTTGTTATCAACATTTTATTTAGTTGATCAACATATTTATTTATGCTAGTTAAGATAGCTTTTAAATTTCTATCATGCAATTTGCAAATTGCGTTTTAATTTAATGATGGAAATATTTCCCTTATTAAATGTACTACTATTACCATTGGGGTTGATAACCAAGTGTTCTGGAAGAACCAATTCATCTTTATTGGATGCTCTTTTTTTGTTTCCGACACAAAGAAAGAAGTCACTGAATATTGGATATGTTCTTACTCTATATTTCTTAGCATATGAATCTTTTTCATTTGAGGCCATAATTATAATTTTGGCAAGCTAGCTTTTAAAGTCTCTACTTTCGTTGATTTTGGAACTACCAGTGGTACTTGACATAAATCACCTCCCAAACTATTAATTTTCCATCAAACGGTTAATTGATATCCAATATATCTCCAGAACTCTAGGCAATTGTTTTGATCATTTGATACTTAGCCATAAACGCTTTATCCCATGTTATCAATTTTGCTTTCATTATAAATTTAGTATTATTACTCTACTTTGATATATTTGTGATGGTTATTTCAGTTGTTTGAAGATATATCAGGCATAACAACTCGAACCTCCAGAGAAATATTTTCTTAGAGATGCAATGCTGATAAAGGGGATGAAAAGCAAAGAGATGTTTGTATTAACAGAGAATACAGAAGAAGCAAATAAAGCAGACGCATAACCGATTAGATTAGCAATAGCCTTAATAATACGTATAATCCGATCCAAAAATCCAAAATATTTATCCGATTCAAACTTTAAAATTCGATTCGATATTAATTCGGATTGCATTTTGTAGAATCCGAAGTCCGAAATGTGCTAAATCCGATCCGATCTATGCACAACCCTAGTATCATGCCCCTTGATCTGACATTTACAAGTAATGCATGACATAAAAATATTATTTCAATTCCATCGGAGACATCTATAAAGGATAATCTCGCTATACTGAAGTCGACTATTTATAATATAGTATTGAAAGCTTGTTCTTGTTCAGGATATAACTTTGATTGTGCTTGCTCAAACACTTATATGGCATTTTGATTCTTAATACTATACTAACATTTTTTACTTTGTGTTCTAATTTTTTAAATCTCTAACGCTATTTTTATGGAATAAATTTATGTACCCTAAGTTTTTTTAACTTGAAAAATAATTTTACTCATATGATGATAAAAAAAATAATTGAATTAGATTCTCTTGATAAATAATTAATTGAAAGGGTTAATTATTTGGTCTTAACATAAAAAATAATTTATTTTATGTTGATCCAGATCTTAATATTAGTTCATATCTTATTTTGAATATTTAATCTTAATTATAATTTTATTCACCATAAATTTTAGTTTCAAAGAGTAAAAAGATCGATCTACATTTCAGTTTTAGATCTTTAAGTTTGTAGAATCATTACTAGTATTGACTCTTACCAACCATATTTCTTTCTTTTTCTCACATATTTTTATTTTCTTAGTTGTTTAATAATTGGGTATATTTTTCAATATTACACGAAAAAATTGATAAATATTTTTTTATTTGAGTAGGAAAATAATTTAAATATAAATATAAAAATATGCTATCGTGGGATATTTTATTTTATCAATTTTAACGTTTTGTGCATTCCATTTAACATTACTTTTAATTTTTCTTGGTATTGAATATTATGGAGTGGTAACGTATTGCCAATACAGAGGATTCTTATGAAATTGATTTTATTAAACCTTCGTACATATTTTTAATAAGAATTTAATAGATAAAGTTTTATAATGTTAAAATCTTAAATATTAAAAAAAAATTAACATACAAGGTATTGCAGTCCAGAAAATAGGTTATTGTATTTATGTCATTTCCCTATGAGTTCTTCTAATTAATATTTTAGGACTATTTTGGTCTATCAATATTTTATTCGAACTTTTATAATAATATATATAGGCTCTCCTTTTTCTAAATGGATTTGAACAATATAATGCATTCTCAAATTAAATTAGTAATAGGATATTATAATACGTTTTCAAATTAAATTAGTAATAGAAATTTTAAGAAGTACCAAACGTATTCCTAAATTATTAGATTTACATGCTAACATGTAGTATTATATATTTATGCACGAAAGTAATTACTCTAATAGAATTCCTAAAGGTAATCATGTAGGATTCCTAACATGTAGTATATGTCCTAAAACTAATAGAATTATAAAGCTAATGTCTAGAATTCCGGTTATGTCCTTTTATTGTGAGTTATTATGCTTAATATTATAAGGTTATTTTTGTAACCCGACATTATATTCATGCTTTTATAATAATATAGACTGTATAAGGAATCAGTTATTTCTCATCAATGTTCTCTCTCCTGCTCTCTCTCTCTCTCTCTCTCTCTCTCTCTCTCTCTCTCTCCCTCTCTCTCTCTCCGCCTCTCTATCTCTCATTCTCTATTCTTTTCCCAAATTTTCTTCCTCTGATATTCTCTATTTTTTATCCTTTCATGTTGTATATATTTTTAATGGAATTTATCAATAGATTTCAATCGTTTTACTATAGAGTTTTAACTTAGCAATTTCCTTTCATGTTGCACAATTGGTGTCCAAATTAAAATTGTCAATCAATAAATTTTGAAGGTGTTTGACTCTCCACCATTGACAGCCATTAAAAAGTTTTAAAGCTTTGAATTCGAATTTGGGTTTTCAAAAATCATTATTTGTTTGAATTGGGTGTTGTTGCAACCATCAAGGGAAACGACTTAGAAGATGACGAAATCGAGTCGGTTTTGCTGAAAAGGTTCGGAGAAACCTTGATCTAAAGAACAATTGGGAATATTATTTGGAGTTTATATCTCAATTTTGAGGGTGTTTGGTGAAGACTAGACTTGATTTTGGTTGAATTTCAGATTGAAACTCGAAGAAGAAGAAGAACACATGACATACAATATACTTACGAAATTTGTAATAAATTTGTTTTATAATTGTATGTAACTTGTATTCTGTTGTAGTTATATATTTTTTTATTTGAATATTGTATGAAAGTTGAAAAATAAATGTATAATGTATGAATCGTTGTATAAAATTTGTATTTAAGTTGTCAATACTATCTTTTTACATAAAGTTGTTGATATGTATCAAAATTGTATTAAGAGAGAAAGTTTTGATTGGAATTTTAAAGAGGAAGAAGCACACACCACATACAAAATATATACAAATCAGATACAAAATATACAAAAGACATATTATATAAAATTTGTATGAAAAATGTATTTAAGTTGTATGATATTGTAGATATATTTTAACTGGTAAAAATAATGTATGAAAATTGTAAATAAGTGTATACTATGTAATTAGATGTATGAAATTTATTTTTAGTATGTATGAAAGTTGTAGATAAGTTATAAATAAGTTGTATATTATATAATTAGTTAAATAAAATTTATTTTTAGTTTATATGCTATTGTAGATGCATCAAATTTACATTAAATTGGTATGTTATTGTACTATACATTATTTTTTTTCTGACAATCAATTGATTAATAAACTATCGAATAGAATATCTGACTAGAACAAAGAAGTTGAACGATGAAAGGAAATTGCTAATCGTTTTATATAATGAAAACGGTATAGTACATACTTGAATTCGATTTTTTTTTTTGGTTCCCAAATCTCAACAGAATTGCTGTGCTAATGCGTCAGTGAATCAAGAAAACGGTGTGCTAAATAGATAAAGAAGAACATACACAGTTAAGAAGTTGTGACTGGAGCAAGTTTCATATGTTTTTGGATGAGTTTGTGTTTAGCTTAAAATAGGTAATCCACAATTGGAATGAATCTAATTGAAAGAGAAGAGAGAAAAAAAGGAAAAGAGTGTAACTTAATCCTCTAATTTAAGGAACTAATAATGAATTTTATATAAATTGTAAACAAACTTTATTTATGGAGGATAATTTTCAAAATTGGGACAATTTTAGTAATAACTTTTCATATAGTGTATAGGAAAGAAAAAATCCCGCAATATTTTAGACGCGCGTCTGAGGGCATGACAACACATAAAGAGAATTGACAATATATTAGTCTCACGTCTGAGAGCAGTAGGCCCAAGCCCAAACTAGCTAAATCTTCGCTAGGCCCAAGCCCAGAAAATTTCTTCCATCTATAAATATCTGAAACCCTAAAGTCGCCACACTCCTCTAGGGCTCTTTACCTAGTTCCCCATTCCCTTTTCCCCTTACCTCTTTCGCAGCCGACGCAGAAATGACGACGCGATTCAAGAAGAACAGGAAGAAGCGGGGCCACGTCAGCGCCGGACACGGGCGTGTCGGTAAGCACAGGAAGCATCCAGGTGGTCGTGGTAACGCCGGAGGTATGCACCATCACCGTATCCTTTTCGACAAGTACCATCCTGGTTACTTCGGAAAGGTCGGTATGCGTTACTTCCACAAGCTTCGCAACAAGTTCCATTGTCCAACAATCAACATCGACAATCTCTGGTCACTTGTTCCTCAAGAGGTGAAGGACAAGGCTAAGAGCAGCAACGCCACTGCTCCTTTCATTGATGTTACCCAGTACGGTTACTTCAAGGTTTTGGGTAAAGGTGTTTTGCCCCAAAACCAAGCTGTGGTCGTCAAGGCTAAGCTCATTTCAAAGAATGCTGAGAAGAAGATTAAGGAGGCTGGTGGTGCTGTTGTGCTCACTGCTTAGGTTTGCTTATTCTTATTAGTTTTTTATGTTATTCATATGGCCGGATCTCGACTAGTTTGGGATTAAGGCGTAGTAGTTACTTTCAGTTTTGGTTTTTATTATTAATGGATGTTTAAACTTTATATTACTGGGTTTTTGTCTTGAAATACATTCGGATATTGCTATGCTTTTTCTCTGGCTCAATTGGATAAGATATTACCTTACGGATCGCGTGCCATGCTGTGTAGTGTCATGTTATGCTCGTTTTGTGGTTTTATGCCTATTGCCATATCGCTTATTTATTTTGGATTGCCATGTTAATGTGGTTTGTGTGCTTTTTGTGACTACTGATTACTGATTGTTCATGTTAGATGCTTAAAATAGCATAATGAAGGTGGTGTCAATGTTTGGATCTGAATAATATCGGTTAGGCAGGTTGTTAGTTTGGAAATTGGCAAGTTTTATGACCAATTTTTCTTTTGGCAAACAAGAATAATTAAGTATGTGCGGTACTTAATTGCCTGTAGGGTTGTAGTCAAGTTTAATCCGGCCTAAATGGTGTTGATTAAGAAGTGTAACTATGGTGCTTGCTCTAGTGAAGTTTTGGTTGGGAAAAAATATGTAGAGTCCATTTCGTTGGTTGAAGAAAGCAGAACTGGTATGAGCCTGTAACTGAGTTTTGTGATAATGCTTTGGTGATAATCATTTTGTATGCTGTAAAAGCCTTGTTGGTTGCAACACAATTTCTGTTGCTCATTCTTAGCCTGCGGCTAATTTTCTTCTGGTATTCATTCTTGGTATGGATGATACTAGAATTCCGTTAGCTCCTTTGTTATACCAAGAGTACTTGAGGTAGTTAATTGAGGAATGACTTTGGGAAATAAAATTACAATTTACAAAGCGCAGATCTATTTTGTATAATCTTTTCATTGATACCAAGTGCAATTGTGGCAATTGAATTGTTGCTTTCCTTTTTGGTAAATGAGAACATAATATGCTAGATTAGACATCATAACCTGCTCAATCTGTTATCGAGCTGTGCTTTTGTGTCCTCTTCCATTCCCATGTCTCTGGAAAAGGTCCAATGACCATGCAATCAATGTCTTCATTCCATGCCTTTAAACGTCTAATTTTGGTGTCTTGCCTACACTTGTTAAAGGTCTCTATTTGTATGAAGTGCACAAGGGCCGGCGTCTTGTAAGACATTGAAATCTATATATGAAATGTGATGGCTGATTGAATTGTACTAGGTTTTGAGAATATTAAGATTATGCTGTATTAGTGCACTCAAGATAAGTGGTCAATGAACTGCGTAAGGCATTGAGAGTTTAATGTTCAAATTCACCAGTAGAAATAAAAATGGCAGGAGATTTATAGCCTGTTTGGCTAAGCTTTTTTTTGGGGGGAAAAGTGCTTTTCCCCCAGTGTGCACCAGTAAGGCTTTGAGAGTTTAATGTTCAAATTCACCAGTGTGCACTCAAGATAAGTAGTCAATGAACTGCGTAAGGCTTTGCGCAAGTCTTTTTTTCCCCCTCAAAAGCACTTTCCCCCCTAACTTGAGGTGTTTGGCCAATTTTTTTTTTTTTTTTTTTTTTTTTTTTTGGAAAAAAAGTATTTTTGGGAAGAAGCAGGAGCAGTTTTTGAGAAACAGAAAAAAAATAGCTTCTTCTCAAAAGTAAAAGCAGTTTTGACTTTTCTTCTTGCCAAAAATACCCTTGACAAAATATTGTATATACCAAAATAACTGTTAAACCTAATACTTAAGATATTAATGTATAATATTTATAATTTTTAGGATAGCTTTCTAATATATAGTGACTTTAGGGTGAGTGCTTTTATATTTGTTGAATGATTTTTAATATATTTAACTTATATTAAAAGTTTAACTTATATTAAAAGAATTAAGTACTTTTAAATTTTATTTTCATGTTTTACTTAAATAAAATGAAAAGATTTAATTATCGCCTGTAATAACAAATTTTTAAGATTATTTATTTACTTGTAATATTAACTATTAAGTAAACTTATTCATGTCCTTAATCTTAATTTGATACTTAAAAGCATTTTTTGAAAAACTTGGTTAACCATAAAATATTGCTCAAAAGTGCTTTTCAGATTGATTAGCCAAATGTATTTTTTTTTAAAAATACTTTTTTTGAAAAAATCACTTTTCAAAATAAGTTGATTTCTCCGGCTTGGCCAAACAAGCTATGTTGTGATGTTTAGTGCAATTTTTGTTATTTTATAAAATTAGTCTGTTAGCATGATCTATCCTTTAAATTTAATTTGGCCAAGTTTATTTTTGGGCCAAAAGTGCTTTTGGCCAAAAATTGAGGTGCTTGGCCAAACTTTTGGAAGGAAAAAATGCTTTTGAGGAAAAGCATAATCAGTGTTTGAGAAGCAGAAAAAAAAAGAAGCTTTTCTTCAAAATCATTTTCGAGAAAAATACACTTAGAAACAGTTTTCAAAAACTTGGTCAAATACTAATTACTGCAAGTATTTTTCAAATTAATTAGCCAAACACAAACTGGCTCTCACTAAAAGTATTTTTTTAAAAAGTACTTTTGAGAAAACTACTTTTTAAAATAAGCTGATTTTAAAAGTTTGGCTAAATAGGCTATTAGTTTATAAAAAGGAGGATGATCATCGGCTGTGGTAATATTGAGGATGATCCTTAGTAGTGCAAAAATTTATCCGCACACGGTGCGGTTGAAGCATTTACCTATGACGTATGAATGCACTAGAATTTTTCTTTATAATAGATCTTAGGGAAGGGTAAACTCGGCAAATGATCAACAGTTAACCATCTTCGTAGATTAGATAGTGTTGAGTTTCCTCATTATTTGACCGCTGCTTCATTAAATCACCATTGCTACATCAACATACTTGCACCTTCAAACCCCCATCACCCATACAGTTGCGTTGTTTTAGTAAGTATCTTTTAGCCTACTGTTCTCTTTGGAGGAGAGTTGTTTATGTTAATAATTTCTACTGACCAAAGAAACTATGAAAGTTTTAAACATAATCAGATGACTTATTGAATTTTATAGATCTGAAAAAAAACTGTACCTCTTGATAATCCAAAAGACATTTTTTGTTTGGTAAATAAACAATTTTATTACCAATACAGAATATTTACAGCTCAACACAAAAAATCTTCCGTACGTCAAACACTAGTTTACAGAGAGAAAGAGCATCAGCTAATAGATGACTACATAATCCTACCAGACCATTTAAGATAAAAGTTAAGATCTTAGCTAGTTTTGGTTCCATACTACACCTTAATATAACCTCCTGGATAACCATCTTCACTAAAATCTGAGACGGTATCTGTTTGCCAGTGAAAACTCTTGCATTCCTCTCTTGCCATATATAATAGACTGCTACAGCTAAAGTGATTCTGCAGATGTTTGCTGTAGCTGACTTCCCATTACAATGCTCCACAACCCATTGAAGTTCTTGCCACTCTAGCACTTGTCGATCCAAAAGACTAAATTGACTTTACCTCTATGAAATTGCTGGGTCGTTCAATAATTCGGTATTGATGATAGAAGGTAAGAATGTTTAGAGTCTATAGTTGAGACATTTTTACACCAAGTTGAAGGGAAGATATAATTTTCATAGACTTGGCGAAGGATACAGAATCTATAGTTTACACATTTTTAGACTAAATTGAAAGGGAGATATAATTTTCATAAGCTTGGCAAAGGACTCCGACTGGCCACTTAATATTTAGGACCCTGGTTCGGGGCTCGGTCTGGGCCCGATGCTTCTAAGGGATCAGTCCAAAGCAACTGGGCCATTAACCTCTAGAAGTGGGCCGATCCCTGGACGTGAGGCTAAATTTCATTTTTCAAACACAATATATGCAAACAATTGCAGAAATATGACACTTTTTTGAGTAGTCTTTAACTTTTGACCTCTACTTATCTCATGGACAAAACTTTAAGGTCAAAAATTAAAAGTGTTGCCCATAGGGTAACCGAGGGGCAACACTTATTAAACTTGAAATTCTGTCCTATTGGATAATGGAGAACGTAAATTTAAGACCATCCACTTTGAGGGCTATTTGTGCACTTTACCCCAATCTATGGGTTGGTGAGGTATTAGCTACTGGATCAAGCAAGACCAATCTCTGGAAGAAAGTGACATAATTCTCTGGTGAGTTCTTTTATACCATATCTCATATCTGTTGGACAAAACCAACATCTGAAGTCCAAATGTTACAAATCTTGGCTTGTTATTGTGACAGATAGTTCTTTTCGAAAATGCTGGATACGTTAGAGAATTGCCTGCTTAAAGAGATATTATCCAACTTCAATAATACATTGAGCACTTACTGAGAAAAGGTAAATTTAGCAGCATAACTTTTTGATTCATCTATTATGAAGATTCATATGTCTGCATTCGTATATGATGTTTGCTTTATAAAAAAACTGCGAAACCGAAATAAAAACACTCTTTCAATACTGTTTTTACATAAATATTATCCACTTTAGTCTTTGTTTTCACTAATGTCGTACCCTATGAGCATTTTCACAGGCCAAGTCTACTCTAATAGTAATATTTGACATTTTATTAAATTCGTTTATGGTCAATGACGTCCAGCTAACGTGATTAAGGGTGTGTTGTGGTACGAAGGAAAATATTTTTCATGAAAAATATTTTCATGAAAATTAAGTTTTTTTTTTTTTTTTTTTTCCCAACCAAACNATCCACTTTAGTCTTTGTTTTCACTAATGTCGTACCCTATGAGCATTTTCACAGGCCAAGTCTACTCTAATAGTAATATTTGACATTTTATTAAATTCGTTTATGGTCAATGACGTCCAGCTAACGTGATTAAGGGTGTGTTGTGGTACGAAGGAAAATATTTTTCATGAAAAATATTTTCATGAAAATTAAGTTTTTTTTTTTTTTTTTTTCCCCAACCAAACCTCTTCTTCTCATAGCTAGAATGGACAAGCCATTCCTACGGATTGACATAAATAATTATGAAACATACATCAGAGGAGGGTTTTTCCTATTACAATTGAAAGCTTTCAAAAATAAGGACTAAGTTCAATGCTTAGTACCACCAAAAGGATTCATTCAGCCGGGGACGAATATGAAGGCGTTCTTTCGCACCCGAATTCTAAAGTTTGGACGACTCCTTGCATCATTCTCCAATGTGGCTATAATCTTCCTTGGT